TCTCTGCTCCCACAGAGATAAACAGCCTAAGAAACTGTATATAGGGCCGCTATGAATCAGAACTGACTGGACAGCACTAAACAGCAGACAAAAAAGAGATAATTATGTCCGAATACAGAGGAAGTCTATTAGAATATAAAAAGCAGAGAGGAAGCACACAAAGTAGCCGTAAAATGAAGCTTTAACACACCACCTGCAAAAGAACCACATGTAGAAATGGAAAGCAGAAGACACACACGACCCCCACACCAGGCACTATAACTTTTCAACTTTGATCAAATCCAGATTATGATTAAGGCAAGAATGGTGCTATAAAAATACAGATTACCTTAAAGGACTGGATTCCAGGTATAATCACTATTTGCTATACTAGTCATTAAAATGGTCAAAACTCTTGGTTCTCAAATCCTCATTTTTTAACAGTAATCTTTTTTGGTAACACCAACAAAATCCTCACAGCTTTGAGAGAAGCACTTGGCCATAGCATCAGGATTCTAAAGCCAACATAACCTAAGAATAATTTGAGAGAATTCTTAATCCCAACTAAAAGTTACATCACATACTAGAAGCAAAAAGGAAAATTAGGTATTGGCTTTGAATTCATTTGAAAAAAATTTTAAGGGCACCAGAAAGAAATAATTGTTTCAATAAGGAAGCCTGGAAACAGCCCAAGAACTACAACCAAATTAGTAAATGAGGTAGATCAGCATTTATTCCTTAAAGAACTAAGATCGCAACCATCATATGAACTGCTTAGATGCTGTAGCTAAGAAATTTGTACAAAATTAAGCCAAGTTGTTTAAAACAGACATTTGGTAATTTTAAAGTACTAAACGAAACACAAAAGTTAGGACAAATGTAGTAAGTAGGATAAGCACTGGACTGCCAACTGCAAGATTGGTGGTTCAAACCCACCAGCTGCTCCTTGGAAACCCTGTATAGGGTTACTATGAGTTGGAACCGACTAGACGGCACTTAATTACAACAGTAAAGAACTGGGCACTATTTCTAACACAGAATTACCTAATGTCTAAATGTGAGCAAAACAATCACAAGTGAAAATAAACAGTTGTGGAGATTGGGCATGAATAAATAAAGTGGTTGGTTGCAGCCAGATGTTGTAAAGAATCGATTCTGCTGAAATATACCATTGGGGGAAGAATCTGTCAATAAGCATTTCACTGTTGTTGTCAGTGTGGTGTGTGTGATACAGAGAACAGAGAAGCCTGGGGTCCAGGAGGCCAATCACTGTGACTTCACACTCATCACACCTTCAATCATCTGTAAAATCGAGGAGTTGCTAGAAAGCCTCCAAAATGCCAGCACTGAAAACCTCTTCTGAAATTTATTTACTTAGAGGCTCCATTCAGTCCCACCTCCAACCTTGCTATCAAAGTGGTGACCACTGGCTCTTGTGGAGGACCTGGTCTTCTAAACCAAAGTCCAAAATCCCTTCTACCTTCTCTCTCACCTCTAGTTCCTTAGGCCAGTGGGTCTCCTGTCTGGCTACCTCATTGTAAAGCGCAGAAACAAACCAGAGGGCATGTGGCCAGCTCCAGGGTACCAGAGCTAGTTAATGACAAAAGCCAAGACCAGACTCCAAGTCTGCTGTTCATGAAGCCCGCTGTGCCTTCCAGTGTATTGTCTTTCACCCCGACAAAAAGCAAACACACAACAGAACTGAGGGTAGTGGGGTGGCGTGCAATTAGATACCAGTAAGAAACTATACATGGATGTGAGAATGTTAATGCCTAGCCAGGCTAGTTCAGGAAGCACATCCAGACTCTCAGCCAACATCTCAATCACCACACAAGACCTCTGAAGGTCAGGGAAACAGGACAGAGTTTGGTATAACATTTGGAGAAAAAAATACAAGCCTGATAGAAAATGATTAAAATTTCCAAGACCAAGGAAATTCAATTCAAGGAGCTGAAGTAACAGAGAGAGTATAATTTGGCTTTGAGGTAACAGCAATTTAAGTGAATGTATTGCCACATAATGAGAAGCACACCTAACAATTGTTGTGAAGTGCCATTGAGTCAGTTCCAACCCATAGAACCCTGTAAAGGGTTTCCGAGGAGCAGCTGGTGAGCTTGAACCGCTGACCTTGCAGTTCAAACGGCTTTGCACATAACTGGGTGTTTTGCATATTGTCACTATGTTAGTGACTGCTGTTGTTAGGTGCTGTAGAGGCAGTTCCAACTCAAAGCGACCCTGTGCACCACAGAACACACCACTGCCTGGACCCATACCAGCCCCACAATTGTTACACTGGAGCCCATTGTTGCTGCCGCCGTGCCAACTCACCTCATAGGGGCTCATGGTCATTCTCACTGACTCTCCACTTTACCAAGTATGGTGTCCTCCTCCAAGGATTGCTCCCCTCCTGATGCTAAGTCCTATGGGAGACACAGTCTTGCCATCCTGGCTTGTAAAGAAGCATTCTGGCTGCACTTCTTGCAACACAAATTTGTTTATTTTTCTGGCAGTCCATGGTACTTTCAATACTCCTCTTCAATACCATAACTCAAAAACAGCAGTTCTTCTAGTCTTTATTCATTGTCCAACTTTCACATGCATGTGTTAGTGACTAGAACTCGATCTGCAGTGAGTTAGGAGACAGATTGTGGCATCAAGACTACAGCCCAATGACTTCAATTTGACATTCCTGATCTGTCTTGGTAACAACAGTAATAAAAAAGTTAAAGCCCATGGTTATGAAACTATTAACTGTCTTAACAAGGAACCATTCAAAATGCAAAAATGCCAACAGAAATATGGAAAAAAAAACAACAGGGTTAAAGGTGCAGTGTGGTAGCTTGCACCTATACATCAGAATATTTCATTATGAGAAAGCAAATTGGCCCTCAGCAAGACGGTGTATGTTTCTGATGACATTTCTCTTCAATCTGTTGTTCATTGGGAGCAGTGAGATAGACACCAGGAGCACTACCAACAGAAGATCCTCAGTCCTGCTGAGAGGTGTGATAAAAACTGTCTTCCTCATGCTCTGGAACTCTGGGATGTCTTACTCATAGTATTAATGACAATCCTAGACCTCATCATATTAAAAGTGAACAGACAGCATCCCTTAAATAACAAACTGAACAAAAGCTCAAACACAAAATAAGAATAAGAAATACATTTATATTGAAAAAATGACAGACACAGGTATCCTGAGTTTCTCAATGGTAAAAAAAAGAACAGAGTCATAACAGTCAGAAAGGTTGTCATAATGATTCAATTATACAAAAAATTCTTAACGGAGTGTCAGTTATGCAGACGTACTTAACAGATGGCTGCTAGTCTTAAGACAACTGTCCTAAGAGGAGCTTTCTATCGGATTAGCCACCACCTCCTCCCCACTTCCAATTCAGTTTGAGCACAAGAATGTGATCATTGTTAGCCAATCAGGTAGCTTTTGACTAGAACGTTCAATCATAGGAAAACCAAAAAGAGTCTTTGGAAATCAAGGCGAGGGGGAAAAAAAAAGTTATCCGAGTAGGAAATGGCTAGCAGACACCTGTTTGTTTTGACATTATTTATAAGCAGCTTTCATTCAGGCAAAGGCTCCCGCACAATGACACACAGAAGTGAAAGAATGTCAAAGCAATTTGGAAGTCTGAAGAAACAGGGGAGACAGCTGTGGCACAGGCCCTAATGGAAAGGAATTATGTCTAAAGAAAATGGTAATACTCTATGCTGCTGTCGTTCAGTGTCGTCAAGTTGGTTCCAAGGAGTGGCTGGTGAGTTAGCAGTTCAGTACTTACTTCGGGCACCGTGTCAGGACTCCAATACTGTGCTACATGCGCCTTTATCGAATCTCCCAGCCAAGAGTCATTACACTTCAGTGTGTTTCTAGGAGGATCTTAGCTCCCTTTTCTCTGGTGTGGGAAGCATTTCATTCCTTTCTATCCTCAGTCTCGACTTTACTTTTGAAGAATTCTGTTATTTTTCCCTTCAAGTCAGGGAGCCCTTCTCCCTCTTCACCAGCGCTACTTCATGTGTGGGAAAATCTGTGGGCACGGCACTTGAGGCTACATAGAAGAACAGGTAAACCATAAAGAAGACCCCATGGGAGAAGGCAAGAGTTGATGAAAGAAAGTTCTCATGCGACTTAGAGGTTAACCGTGGAGGAGAAGCAACGCTCCTGACAGCGGCCAGGGAATGAAAATGTAGTTACTAGGCTTTGCCCCATCATTACTGGTACTGTCTGCAACTGAACCATCTCTTAACTGAGGTTCTGAACATTGCCAGGGGACTGTTTAACAACAGACTTTCTACTTACTCCAAAATGTGGGGCTTGCTCTCTCCAGACATTCCATAAGTCAGGTATTGAGAAAATTTCTATTTCTCAAACAGAAAAAACAAACAATAAATAGAAGCTTTAGTTTTATTGCCTTTGCCCACTCTCCTGATGTTGCTCTTCTCTTTATAAACAATCCAAATACATCCCTTCCCAGACTACATACTGATGATCTTAACAGTGAAGTGAAGGAACTCTTCTTGAATCTTCCTGCTCATAAAAATAGGTCTAGGGACAGTGGCCTAAAGCCCACAAAGCCAGGTTCCCAGTCCCCATCCTCCAAGCACATTTAGGCTCAAAAATAAACGACAGAAATGCCCTACCAGCCTGTGAGGCACAGAGAGATGGGAACGGTTTCTGTTCTGGTCATACCAGGCATCAGATAAGATACTGTCAAAATCTTCAATGGGCCATTCACTTAGAAGGGATTCTAACCTTTTAAAATCACATACCAACATCAGCAACACTATGTCAGGGATCTTGGACCACACCCTCAATAGCTTCTTTGTCAAGTAAGCAAGGAAACTGTGCTAATTTGGTTGCTTGGAAATTCCTACCTGGTCCACTGAACTGAAAAAATCTTAGAACCCTTTTAAAGGCTGTGGATCTCCACATAAATTACATCTCTGTTACAGAGAAAGAAGGGGCTGCTACACTTCCTGTGATGTCTCCCAGTTTGCTTTCAATCAGGCTACCAGCATGTCCAATGCTAACCTTTATGCTTTAGCAAGGGGAGAAGAGGCTAGATCCCAGGACTGGACCTCTCTGACAGAAGAGGAGAACAGGCCCCAGTTGGGCTAGGATTGGTCCCCTTTGTAAGCACCGATTTCTCAGTTATTTGGTTCTTCACAGACTAAATTATAGCTTCTCTCAGAGAAGAGGCCTCGGGTATTCAGATGTACGTGAAGTTGAACTTTCACAGCCAAATATCCGAGGTTCCACAAAGCAACATCTGAAGCCAGTATAAGAAAATGGTTGGAACTCAATGAGCAGCAACTCTGGGGTAGTCAAGCGTCTCCAGTCTCGGTCCAGCCTCAGGGCTCCACCTGTACCCCAATCATGGGCACCATCTCTTCGATCCACAGCAAGTTCAGAGGAGCTGAGGTGCGAGCCTGTCGTCGATGAATTCGGCGCAGCCGCAGGAGGTACAGAATGATGGCCAGCAGTACCACGAAGATGCAGGCGAAGAAGAGATAGTGGTTGTAGACAAAGGACAGACGGAACCAGCTCCCATGGGCCTGTCGGACACCTTCCTGCCGTAGATCCCTGGGAAGAGTTTGAAGATGGGTAGAAATGTTATTTTCAGAAAGAAACATACAGTCTGATTTGAAAGGTCCTTTGTCCCACTGACACCACCAGCTCCCCACAGCAGCAAAGCTGAGGAAATGTCCCACGTTTCAGGGAACTGCTGTGTGACTCCTCCCGCACCTCCCCTTCCAAGACCTTCAGAGGGATTCTCTAGCCTCCACAAACTAGGGACAGGATCCAAAGGCCTTTGAAACTGAAGCCAAAAATATTAAAGTCAAGGGACTCTTTTCCCTCTTCACTAAACCCTAGAAATCAAAGGTGGCCATTGTGGTCATCTAACAAAAGAAGTTTTGAGATACTCTTTGGTAAATATGGCACAGATGAGAATAGGGTATACCTGAATCTTATCAAGAAATCAGAGTATGCTGAAATTGTAATAAAAAAAAAAGTTCCTGTATTCCTTCGGGTTTAGAATATGTTTAACGAAGCTGTCACCTGCTCAGTTGTACTATTTTCTGGAAAACAAGAATGAGTTAATATAAACTAAAGTGCAGTGGTCTGCCTGTCCGGAACAGAAGCCACTACCTGGTGGTCTCGACACAAGAAGTAGTTTCGTTTTGTTGGGTCTTCAGTGTATTTGAAAAACGTGACTCTCCAATAGGAAAAGACTTCACATACAATAAATAAAGATTCCTGGCTTCTCATGGCCAGTGAGAATTGGCGATAGTGGGCCAGCACTTTTGTGTGGTGGCCATCAACCCTTTGGTTGGGGGATGCTCTCTCCAGTTCCCCACAGCCCACCCACCCACCCCTGCAATCTCCTCCCTCACTTCAGTCACCTGCCTGGCTACTGGTGGTACAGCATCTGGAACCACAAGAGTCAAAGATGAAGAATTCATTTCATTTAGCTGAAATAGTCCATGGCAGGGGGTATATGACAACTGTCCCAAGGATCTTACAGGTACAGCTGATGACAACACCCCCTCCCCTGGAAACACCTCACACCCTTTACTCTAATTGTGCCCCCCAGGTCCATGACATGATCTCTGGATAGATGCTTTCATTAGGGAAGTCTCTTCTCTGAAGATAGCCTACCCCAGTTCTCCAGGCAGGTGTGTTGTTTCAGAGTAAAGTAAGGAAATGACATTTCAGTTTATAAGTCAGCTTCCTGGAAGTGGTTGGAGTCCTAGTGTGGCACTCACTATAGGTCGGTTTGAACCACAAGGTTGGCGGTTCAAACTCACCAGCCACTCCTGGGAAACCCCACACAGGGTCACTGGGTCGGAACCGACTCGACGGCACTTAACAACAATTCTGGAAGTGGTTAGTGAGAAGTCAACCCTAAGTGCTGGTTTGTCGTGGGTGAACAAATAAAAGGGAATTTCTGGAATTTCCAAGCTGAGGAACAGGCTCCAGACCGATGAAGCTCAACCTTCTTTCTGTTTCAACATTCCTGCTTAGTAGCAGTGGTCCATACGGCAGTGACGAGGGGGACAGGGCGAGGACAGTCAGCTCAGAAACCTATTATGAGGCACCAACTAACACTTGGAGCTCAGGTACCGACTGGGTCCGTTTCCTTTACCTGAGTGGTAAGAACCGTGTTTTATACAGAATGGCTCCCAGCGTCCACTGAACCTCCCGGTCATATACCAGCTGGGCTGTCTGTAGGTTTGGGTAGTCATAGGGAAAGTGGAAACCTTCATGAAGGACTTGGTAGACCCAGGCTGACTTAAAGCACTGGTACCTGTAAATCAACAACAAAATTAAATTTAAAAAAGAACTCTAATGACTTCTTTTGCAGTAAGTTACTCCATACCCTCCCCTCGCTAAACGCACACACAAAACGGTTGCAGCTGAGTCAATTCTGACTCAGAAGATCTTGGGATCTGTCTTCCAAGGCACCTCCAAGCTTTCTGTTAACCAAGCGCATTAGCCATCGGGAAGCTCTCTGTTAACCAAGCGCAT